AGAGAGAGAGAGAGAGAGAGTTTGTCACCAATATACGAGATTGGGATTTATAGAATCAACCCGCCTTATATGATCTATATCAACTCGTTCAAAGAAATCAAAATTACTCATAAAATTGAACCTAGTGCACATGCAGAAGCCAAACCCTACAACAGGGATCAATTTTGCAACAACCCCAATACAAGCTGAACACTAATATAACAATCTGAGAAACAACTCAACACCTAATAGATTTGATGATAGAGTGAAGAGAGAAAGGAATATAGAGAGAGAGTCATTTGAACCGCTGTAAAAGAGGAATGAGAAAGGAGGATAGAGAGAGAGAAGGGCAAACCACTGGATTTCGAGAGTTGATGAGAGATGGAGACTCCTGCAACTTCTTTTGGAGAGACACGAGATCTCCGGCCTGAACATGAGCGTGAATTGAAGAAGACGAGGAAGATCGTGATTTATTGGGCCTTCTCTCTTGTTGGATAGGAGAAGGACGAGGCGAGCTTGTGTCCATCATTTTTCTCCCACCCAAAACCTTGAAAGAAGGAGAATTGTTCCTGTCCTCCTCTGCTCGCAAGCAGGAATGGAAATGGGGATGAAACAATCTGCGTTGGGTCGTTGAAGTCTTTTCCCACGAGCTTTAGTACATGGGATTGTCGACAGAGACACCATTTATCTTTGGCCACGAGCTTTAATACATGGGATGGGATTGTCGACAAAGACACCATTTATCTTTGGGATTGATTGTCTGAGACTATTTATCACGATCATTTTAGCTCATTAGTTGCCGAAGTAGATGGCATGGGGTGTGTCAAGTTGTCTCTTGATGTATATTTATTTATTTTTGGAACTGTTTCAATAACACTCTTACATCTATCCATTTTGATAAGGGTTCCGATTGTATCGAACTTAGCCTCTAACAAAAAAATGTGTTTTCAATACGGAAAATCTTTCTGATAGCCTTAAAATATAATTTCATCATTATTTATAACGTTTAAAGTTTCAAAAATAGTGTAAACCACGGCTCTATGTGGGCTCTAACTTGATTGTTTAGAGCCACGACTCTATATAAACTTTTCCCTTTTGATAAAGGGATTGTCAATAAAGAGTTTATTTTTGTATATGAAAATCACAATCATTCCCACATTGAATGTCAAATTGAATGGATTAGGGTAAATCACGAAGTTTGAGAATTTATTTAGTTTTTAGAATTTTGTGTCTATTCAATGATACTCGTACAACTATCCATTTTGATATTATAAAGAAAAAAATGATTATGACCTCCATTTACAAAAGATAATAGTATCTTTGTGGACAATTCTTTTATCTTTTTTGGGATTACCTACAAATAAACCATTTATTTTTTGTACATGGAGGTCACAATCATTTTCACTCATTAGATATCAAATTGGATGATTTAGGATAAGTCACAAAGTTTGATTTTTTTTTTTTTGAGACTTTGTGTCTATTTAATGACACTCTTACAACACCCATTTCAAAAGTTAAGAGGCAATAATGATTATGACCTCCATGTACAAAAAAAAAGAGACAATTTATCTTTTGTACATAGAGATCACAATCATTCTTTTGTACATAGAGGTCACAATCATTATTTTCTCTTAAATTTTAGAAGGAAAAATATATAATGAGACTATTTACCTTTGATACAAAGTGGTCATAATAATCATGATCATTGGATGAGAAATTGAGTGGCTGCAATTATTTCATTAACCAAGCTCAAACTTCAGAAGAAATTTTCTCGAACTTTGTGACACATCTAAGTTATCAAATTTCATATCAAATAGTTGTAAAGAATTATGCCCATCATGTATCAAAGGTAAATGATCTCATTTTATACAATCTCATTTCAAAATGGGTAGTTGTAAGAGTGTCCATTGATGTCCAAAAGGAAAAGATCATATAAGTGTGAGGTACTAAACAATTAAATTAAAGTGCACTTCAAAAATTCATTAGAAAAAGTTGTTTTGATGCTCAAAATGAATGTTTTAAACATTTGGCACCTCTCTCTCTCTCTCTCAATCCACGAGCCTATTTCATCCATTAAGTAAAACAATCTTGCTCTAGTGTGCAAGTGTCTTATATCATGTTTCTTCAAGCACAAATATTTCAGGAACACATCTATTTGAGGGGACAGGAAGAGGAGTTGCTCTTATGCTCTGAAGGGGATCCGAATTGGGCTGTCTTATCTTAGACATTATGTGCAATGGATTATTGACTATGGTGGATTCATGGCCATCAGAGAAATCAATCAAGGAGTCCTATGGTAATTATATCTATAAAGATTTCGGTGTTCTTGCCAATTCAAAAGTTTTAGATTATTTGGTAGGTTCACCACAGGTATGGAATCTTCCCTCTCCCATATCTGACCTCCTAATTAGAGCCTGGAAGGAGGTAGAGGCATTTATACTCCCATTAAAACCTCAGAGAGATTTCGTAGATTGGATTCATTCTACCGGTGGTCTCTTTTTAGTTGAAGATGTATAAAAAATTTATTAGGTGTCAGGGCACTTCGCAGCCTATCTTAAGGGTTCTGTGGTCTTTAAGCTGCCATTTTAGAGCAAAATGTTTTTCTTGGTTGGCCTTCTATCAACGCATTTCAACTTATTCTTTTCTACATCATGGGGGGATACCTCGCGCATCCAGATGCTCCATCTGCCACGCTAATGTTGATGACACTTCTCACCTTTTGTTTCACTCTTTTTTCTCGTATAGCATTTGGAGATCGGTTGTATGGAGGTATGGTAAAAGATTCTATCTAGATTCATCCATGGCTTCTATACTAAGGAAATAGATTGCTTACAGATTCATGGCCTCCCCAATGTATGGCTTTCTCTCTTCTTCGCTATTCCTTGGATGATGTCAAAGGAATGCAATCGCCGAATCTGTCAAGAGAAAGTATCCAAAAACGAGCAACTTCTCAGGAGGATTACTTTCCCATGTTGGTGAACTAGCAAATGCTAAGTCTCGGTCTTACCACATATCAAAAAAGGCTATAACAAAAAATTAAGGCATTCATTCTGATTGCATGGCCTTCTTCGCACCCTTGTCATTTCAAGCTTAACGTTGATGGGGCTTCTTTCTAGAGTTCAGGGGTCTCAGGTGGAGGAGGCGTTCGAGGCGATGATGGATCCTTTATTGCGGCATTTGCACAACCTTTTGGCATTGCGTCGAATAACTATCTGGGATTTCATGCCTTACAAGCGAGTGTGTGTTAAGCTAGATAGCTTGATTGTTTTCCCGTCTAGCTCAAGCGTGACTCGTCCCTGCTGGTTGATTGTAATTGACGGTAGATGTAAAGTACCATAGTCACACCATATTGTAATTGCTAATTGTTGTGATAAGCTCGTTAATTGTTTATGGTCCATTTCAAATATTTATCGCGAGGTCAATATAATAGCCGATACACTTGTTGAGAAACCACAACTTTATTTGATGCCACCATTTGGCGAGTTGAACCACTAGATTTCATTTCTCTTCTTTTACTTTGTAATGTTGCGCAGTTGCCTTTTGTACGGTTGTAAAAACTATGAGCTGTATTATGATTTATTTTATAATTAATGAAAAATGAGTAGGGGGCCATCTCCCCCGCTAATTTACCAAAAAAAAGAAGAAACATGCACCTGTCTTTCGCTCTTGATCAAATGATCAACAATCATGGTGTGTGACCAATCACCTTTGCATTCAAAGAGTAGGGTTGGGCAATGGGCCACGATAGCCTTGGACCCTAGCCGGCCCTATTCCCTATATAGGGCCAACCTGGCCTGGACCATGCCAAAGAGACCCTGGCCTACACCCAGCCTTGGCCCTACTAGGGCCAAGGCGGGCTAAATAAAATTAATTTAATTAAAAAAATAAGGATCGGGTTGAGAGCTGGCCCTATCTTGGCCCATGCCCAACTTGGTCCTCAGGCTCTAGTTTTTTTAAGGCCAGGCCATCCGGCTCTTGCCAAGTTTAAAAAAGGGAAAATT